AAAACTCGAACAAATTTAAATGGATTATAAGGAAGATCAAATGATAGGTGTTAAATTTTAACCTAACTGCATCTGCAGCAACACACTTTCCAATGTATTCTGCATGTTGGCTAGGCAATTCACATTCCTAGTCCATGGTCACATGGGATTCTCCAGGGGTTTAATCTATGTATATTTCCCCTTCATTTTTTAAAAACCCAAACAGCTTTAAAATGGGTGTACAGGGAGTTCAAATGAGAATAGACTGCACTTTGACCTAACCACGCCTGCCATAATAGACGTTTCAATTCTCTGTCTGATAACAGGGTTATTCACACCCCTCAACTGCCTTCAGAGGGGATGCACCGGAGGCTGAATCCGTGTATGGACCCTGCATTCTTTTTGATTGAGTCTTTTATGTCTTACTCTGTCATTGTTGTTGGGCTGTTTGCTTTTGCTTTGATTTTGTATGCTTTATTTATATGAAATGTAGGATAGGTAAATCCATAGAGACAGTAACTGAAGGAATAGTTTTATAGAGCATGGCAGGAAGGTTGGTAGGAAATGAGGAGCTATTAACAATGAGTACAAGGAAGAAGAAATATCCTGGAATTGATTGTGGTGATGGTTGCACAACTCTTATGAATATGACTGTACTATTAAAATATAGGATATGTGAATTATAGGTCAATAAATCTGTTAAGAATCAGCTTTTGCAAACTCTGTGGTGCACAGCTCTACTTTGGCATGCATGGGATTGCCATGAGTTGGGGCTATTTGATGGCAACTGTTTTCATTTTTTAATGTCCTCAAAGTGACATCCCTGCTCCTCAATGCTTTAAAGAGGCCAATAAAGCACAGATAAACAGCTTTCTGGTATTCTCTGCTTTGAGCCAAGATCTAGTTGACAATAATATCCCTTGTTCCACATCTGCTTCTAAACCTGCCTTGAATTTCTGGCAGCTTCCTGTTGATGTACTGCTACAATATTGTTGAATAATCTTCAGCACAATTTTATTTGCATCTTACATTAATGATATTGTTTGATAATTTCTTCATTCTGTTGGGTCACCTCTTTTTGCAATGGGTATAAATATGGTCTCGCCAGCTGCCAGTTATCTTCTAGATTTTTGGGCATTGTGTTTCATCAGTTTGCTGTAACATTTCAATTTGTATTCCATCAATTCCTGGAGACTTGTTTTTGCCTAGTGCTTTAGGTGTAGTTTGTATTTCTTCCTTCAGTACAATTGGTTTTTGATCATATGCTACTTCTTGAAAAGGTTGACAAACAGGGTTATCATTATTTTGAATTGAGTGTCCCCAGTCATTTAGTTTTTTTTGTTGTCAAATCAAACAAATAAGAGGCAAATGCCATGGAATTTCATAAATTGAATGGATGTTACAGTATACAAATTTTCCTAGGTAAGTTCCTAAAAAACAAGTTTCTTTTTTCTGTACTTTCCCCATAAAGGCTATATTTCCAAATACATTCCTAAAACATAACTAATTTTTGCCAGTAAAATTAATCTGTGAACACATTATGAATTTTGAAGACATACCACTCCCGTGTTTTTCTAAAGACTCATAGATATAGCTCACTGTTGGCTTGTTGGTACTCCGTGGTGGTTTGCGTTCTTGTCCTGATAGGAGTACAGGTGGATATAAATACCCTTATGCTTGGAACTCATGGCATCATCATCTAAAATGCTCCCATGTTTTCTGTAAAATTGTAGGTTTTTTCCTGAAAAACAACAGCAACAACAACAACAAAAATACAGATCTGTACCTTAAAGACATGGATCAAATCTTCATTGTGTGGTCGGGCCCTCCATAACTCACAAATGAGTTGCTTCTAAGTCAATTGGTTGACATACAATATACATTTTCTTCTGTGGACACAAGATAGTTACGTTTCCAGGTCAACTGACTTCTAATTTCTGTAGCTTGACGCAGTAATACTGAAGACCCCAAACAGTAACTGAAACTGAGTTCTAGGGCAGTGTCTCTCAATGGGTAATGGAAGGCAATTTCTTTTCTTTTTATGAAATCATTTTATTAGGGACTCTTACAGCTCTTATCACAATCCATCCATCCATCCATTGTGTAAAGCACATTTGCATGTAAGTTGCTATCATCATTTTCAAAACATTTTCTTTCTACTTGAGCCCTTGGTATCAGCTCATTTTTTACTCTCCCTCCCCCATCCTCTCTCCCTCATGAACCCTTGATATTTATAAATTTTTTTTTTCATGTCTTACACTGACCACTGTCTCACTTCACTCATTTTTCTGTTGTTCGTCCCCCTGGGGGTGGTTATACATTGATCATTGTGATCAGTTCTCCCTTCCTCACCCCCACCTTCCCCCTACCCTCCTAGTATCGCTACTCTCATTATTGGTCCTGAGGGGTTTATCTATCCGACTGGCTCATCTCTCCCTTGTGACCCTCCTGTGAGGGGATGTCCAATTATCTATCCAAGATGGGCTTTGGGTCTCCACTGCACTCTTCCCTCATTCTCATCGATATGACTTTTTGTTCTGTGTCTTTGATGCCTGATTCCTGATCCCATTGATACCTCATGATCACACAGGCTGGTGCGCTTCTTCCATGTGGGCTTTGTTGCTTCTGAGCTAGATGGCCACTTGTTTATCTTCAAGCCTTGAAGACTCCAGACGCTATGTTTTTTGATAACTGGGCACCATCAACTTTCTTCTCCACATTTGCTTAAGCACCCATTTTGTTTTCAGAGATGTGTTGGGAAGGTGAGCATCACAGAAGGGAAGGCAATTTATTAAAGGCCCCTGTTGGTCTTTACACCTGACACCACTCTTGTCTTAATTTCCCCAGAACTTACCTCTTCTATGTTACTTCTACACTCAAGATCATGCATAGCTCCTTATTGACTCTTCATGCAGTGATGCTAAGTATTCAACAACATTTTCCCGCTCACTGTTTCCTTACATGAACACACACTCGCTAAAACCTTGTCAGAGCATATCCCACATACCCTCGCTTTGCTACTTTGAGTTATATTGTTCTTGGCAATCAGAACCAAATTCCCATTTCTGTCCACTTAAGACATAGCTCTTATCTGCTGACCCGTCTCATATACCACCCCTCCTCTGACTTCTCCCAACTAGAGCTCATCATTGCCTTTGTGATATGCTCTTAGCCCACTCTTATTTGGCTGTCTTATGGCATGACATAGCAAATGACATAGCACTGAGCAAATCTGCTGCAAAAGATCTCTTTAAGTTTTACAAAATAATGCTTTCACTTGGATGAGTAATGTGTCTGGCCCAATGTTTAAGTCATTTCATATTCATGTGCTACTTGGACAATAAGAAGGAAGACAGAAGAATAATTGATGCATTCAAATCAACACGTTCATTTTTGCAGAAACAGAATACTTCTTGTAATTAAGGATGATCAGATCATGGTTCACTTTGAGCACATCATCAAGAAAGACCAATCACTAGGAAAAGACATTATATTTTGTAAAGTTGAGGGCCAGCAAAAACGAGAAGACTCCTCAGTGAGATGGACTGACATAACAGTTGCAATGATGGCCTCAAATACACCAATGATCATGAAGACAGCCAAGGCCTGACCTGTGTTTTCTTCTGTTACATGTAGCTATGACTTGGAGTTAACCAATTGTAAGTAACAACAACATTAATATATAGTATTGGATATTCATAGGAAATATTTGGTGGACAATTTTCCATCCAAGGAAGGGATCCTTGTTTTACCCATCTATGAGGACTCAGTAATGCTTCCCACTGGGCTTTGGCTGCAGTGGCTGAACAACAAGCCCTGGTTGGTTTGAATTGCTTTACTACTCCTACCCCACTTACAGATACACAGAGAGAGGAGGGGGAGTGTAGGTGTGGGTAGGAGGCCCAAGAGGGGAGCTGCCTGCATTGCTTCCAAACACTAATGCCCACTGACAGTTCTAAGTGCTGTCTACCTTCGGCTTCAAGTCAGATATAATAAAACAAAATCAGCCATTATGAATAATGCTTTTTAACTTTTGTTGTAAGCCTCACAAAGACATTTGCTATCCCTGACTGGTGTCAGATGTAATAAAAATAATTATTCTCTGGAAGCATATAGCTGGAATTGCTTACAACATGGCTATTGTTTGCTTGCATCTGTGTGAGTTCGTCTGGTCACACAGCGTGCAACATGCCGCTCGGCCGCCAAAGGCTCCGGACTTTCACCCACTGTTCGGTGCTAGGGGTTTGTGTCTTTCTGGATGTCTTAAACTTGAAAACGAAAAGCACTAGAGTTTTACATCCGTTTCTTAAGGACTCACTGGAAGAATGTTTACTTGAACAGGAGATGTGACCTCTCCTTTCGTCCTGGACTAAGTGTTCACATCTAATAAAGTCAAAAGTAGACTTTGTACCCACTTTCCTCAGGAAAAATTCACTAAGACCACAGTCTTAGCAATGAATGACGCTGAATCCTTTGCTCTATATTATTAATCTTCTCACTTTGGTCTTTATGGTTTTGAGGCTACTCTAAAACAAACATGTAGACTTTATGAGTTTGGGGACTCCTTAGAGGTCATCTAATCCACCAGCTTCATTTAATAATTAAGAGACTTAGACTTGTTCAGGTGCCACATTTTGGCGGAGGCCACATGATGTCTGATTGTCAGAAGCCAGGTGGGAACCAGCACTTCTATGGAGTTCTTTTTACCTCACAGAGTTTTCTCAAACATTTACCAAATGGTACCCTGTTTACTGCTTCATAGATTCCATGATGAAAAAATCTGGTCCACAAAATCATCTATGCACTTAACCAATGTTTATGAAATGCTTACTACATGCCCGGCACTTTCTAGATGTTGGGGATATAATGAAGAAGCAGAGAAATATAGACTCTGCTGTGAGGCGTATTCCATTTTAATGAGAGAACAAGATGCTAGAAAGGACAATCCAACGAATTTCCAGGCGTGTTCTATTGCATTGGGCAAGTCAGCTGATGAAGACCTCTTTAAAATGTCGAGGCGCGTGCTCGCTTCAGCAGCACATAGACTAAAATTGGAATGACCCAGAGAAGATTAGCATGGCCCCTACTCAAGGATGACACGCAAATTCGCGAAGCGTTCCATATTTTTAATAAATGTAGCACTAATTCTTTAAAAAATAAATGTTGAGGAGCAAGAATGGCACTTTGAAGATCTAGGTGCACCTGACTCAAGTCAGGGTCCTTTCACTCAGCTCATCTGGACGTGAAAGTTGGACAATGAATTAGGACAACTGGAGAGCCGTGGATGATTTGCATTATGCTGCTGTTGAAGAGTATTGAAAGAGCCATGGACTCTGAAAACCAAATGCCTCTGTCTTGGAGGAAGTCCATCCAGGAATGAGAATGGTGAGACTTCAGCTCATGCGCTTTGGGCACATTAAAAAGAGAGACTAACCCCACGCGAAGGACATGCTTGGTCAAGTAGAAGGGCAGTGAAAGAGAGGAAAGCCCCGGATGAGATGTAGTGAGCCAGTAGTCGTAACAAAGGGCGCAAACCTAAGAACCAATTGTGAAGATGGCCAGGACTGAGCAGTGTGTCCTTCTGCTTCAGTCTGTTGTCCACGGCTTCACTGTGAGCAGAGCTGAGTCAAGGGCATCTAAGAACAGAAGCAGCAGCAATAGCAGCCCTTTATGGAGCCCCTGAGTGGTGCAAACAGTTACCATGTTGAGTAACTAGCCACAAGTTTGGAGTCTACCCAGAGGTACCTTGGAAGAAAGGCCGGATGATCTGCTTCTGAAAAATTCACCATTGAAAACCCTGTTCTGCACAGTTCTACTCTGACACACATGACCAAAACGGTCTTTTCCATTTTTTTTAAACCAGACGGTATGCTACTTATTGGGTATTTCATTTCCCTTAATAATCCCTATTAGCCTGAGAATTTATTGTTTGGCACTGACTTAAATATGCTTATCCAATTTTCCTATTTTAGAGCTTATAAAAAGACTTCTTCTTTCCAGACTCCCCTTGTTGTTATAACAACAATGATAAATCTTCGCTGACTGATTTGAGGAGCTTGTTGAATATGATAGCAACAATTACTGAACTGGCAGCTTACGTTAGGGCACACACAATCTGTTGAAGTGCTTCAACTGCTTTATGAATTGGGTCCGTGTAAATTCTACATCATTGTCATAATATTTACTCTGAAAACTCTTGGTGGGACTAGCGTTGCTATTGCCGGCTCTGCTGACATCAAGGAATCTTAAACTTCCTTTTTGACGGGGAGGTTTTATTAGGACTTGTTTTGGCGATGAAAACACATGTCCTCTTGCAGGCATAGATTGAATCCATAGATTTTTAAGGATTGACTTTGGATTTGAGATTATCTATTGCGTTGTCTTTAGATCTGGCTGTACCACAGAATCTACTGGGGGGGATCTTAGAAATACGTGGATTCCTACACTCCATCTCTGGGAGTCTGCTGATTCAAGAGGTACCATGAAATAAGGAAAGAACGTGTGTGTCTCTGTGTGTAATTTTCCATTTCCTGGTTATTCTTGTAGTTGGGAGAACTAACCACTCCACTTGGAGAACATTGAAGACTAGAAGGCTGAAGTCACCTGGGAGATGACACCAATTCTGAAATCCCCTGGGTTTCTCCAATTAGAAGAAGAACTGGGAGATAATAGGGGTGCCTAGGAAATGGTTCCATTGTAAATCTCAACTTTTGATTCCAATGGGCATCTTCGCAGTGTTTCTTACCATCCACTCATTGACTTTTCTCATAAGAAATACTCAGGTACTTTCAAAAATGCAGATTTCTAGGATCTCCCTTAGACCTACTTTATTAAAATCTCTGGAGATGGGACCTAGCAATGTGTGTTCACATGAAACCTTCAGTAATTTCTGATGCACAATTCAGTTTGAGAGTTTCTGTATTCTCTTTCTTTTTATTTACACTGGGACCACATTTGTATCTATAGTTTGATGGCACCATTTATTGAACTAATCAGAATTAAAGGTTGCTAGCATTGAATACCTGAGGCTCATACCAATTTCTTTTTGTGTGCGTGTGCCACGTCACTATTGACCTCATTTCTCAAAATGCTCTATTATAAGTGATTTCCAGTTATCAACCCCCTTATCTATATCATCCTCTATTTTCCCATTTAAGACAGAGAAGAACGGATGTGTTAAAATTGTGGTGTTGGTGAAGACTATTGAGTATACGAGAAGAATGAGCCAATCATTCTTAGAAGAAATATAACTAGAAGCAATACCTCCTTAGAAGCAAGGCTGGTGAAACTTTGGCCCACTTACATTGAGAAAAACCAATTACTAGAACAAGAAATCATGCTTGGTACAGGGTCAGCCAAAATGATAGTCCCTCAGTGAGCTGGATTGGCACAAGAGTCACAACAATGCACTAGAACAAAACATTAATCATGTATATGGTGCAGGAATGGGCAACGTTTTATTCTGCAAAGGTGACATAAGGTCACTGTGAGTGCAACTAACAACAACAACAACAAAAACATTTCCTGTCATCTTGGATAGCTCTACATCTCGTTCTACATCTACTTCTCTTCCTCTACTTGCCCCTTCTGGATTCATTGCTCTCCCTCTCATAGTTTCCATTTTAACTCATGTCTATGATAATTTCTAAATCTTTCTCTCTAGCCCAGAGTCATTTCCTAAGCTTCAGACCGATGCATAGATCTCCCTGCTAGGTACTTGCTGTTTGGATCTCCCAGTGACCCCTGAATAGACAAGGTCCCAATAGAGTTCATGATCTTTCTCCAGAACTTAGCTCTCCTCTGTTCTCACGACTTGAGTTGATGATGCCTGCATTAATCAAGCAACAAGTAAATTCTCAGATTGACTTCCAATTCCTTATCATTTTCCCTCCATCCAGGATTAGACCATACTGATTTGATCTGTTGAATATATCTTTCTCCCTAACTTTACCACTGTATCACTGAAGACCCTTATCACCTTTCATCTGGGCCTGGATACTAGTTTCCCTTCTACGAGTTTTGCCATGCCCAATCTATAAACTACTTTAGATGCCAATCTGCTCATGTCACCCCACATGCTTAAAACTCTTGAGGAATTACTTTCAGGATGAAGCTTATACTCCTTAGTGTGGAGTTAAAGGCCTTCTAAGGTTTGAGTGTTTTCCCATTGAGCTTCTGTTCATCACGCCTCCTCCTTCCTCTGTCTAACAGCGTAGACACGGAGAATTATGCTGCTGCCTGCTGCCTTTTGGCTTGCTCAGAGGATTTTCCCTCTACTTGCAAAGTCTTTCTATCACTTCATTCATTTTCTAGGATTTCCGTCACAAATGACAGAAACATTGAGGCCTTAAAACTACAGAGACTGTCTGGGGGCCAAAAGTCTGACACAAAGATGTCGGTAGGGCATCCATCTTCTGCAGGCTCTGGGAGACTCCCGTCGTCTTTCTCCCAGTTGCCGGTGGCTCCTTATCAATCCTTGGCATGCCTTGGCTTGCAGCTGCATCTCTGTCTTTGTCTTTACCTGGCCACCTCTGTGTGTCTGTCTGTGCCCAAATTTCCTTCTTCCGGAACCAACCGTTGAATTTAGGTCTGACCGAATTTGCTATGACCTCATCTTAACTTGATGCCGTCTGCAAAGACTGTATTTCCAAAATAAGATCACATTTCTATGTATTGGAGGCCAGGACTTCAACATATCATTTGGGGACACAATTCAACCGACAACAATCATTGTATTTTTTCTTTCTATCCAATCAAATACTTTTCTAATCACACCGCTATTTATGACATTGTCCCTCTGAAACTGTGGCTGACCTTTCAGATGGTGATGGCCACCATCCAGCCCTGAACACACCTCCAACATTAATCTGCACATAAGAATTTTTAAAAAATGTTGTATCCATTGTTTTTACTGAACTTAAATGTCTTGTTTATTTGTTACCTCCAATGTTGGGATCATGATTGGCTCTTAGAAGATATTTAATTAACACCTGCTGTTGAATGAATGAATGGATGGATTTATTTATAGTATCTGATTTTTGGAAATCATATGAAAACACATACTTATTATTTTGGCTATTTTTTCAATTTATGAAAACAAATTCCATGAATTAATGTGCTGGCAATAGAGTTCATAAAAATAACTATGCATTCTGATTAATTGGCTCATGTCACCCAATTAAATTTACCAATTAAAGGGTCAGCCAGAAGCAGGAAGTGAAGCAAATGTACTGTGGCATGAATCAACATTACAACCAAGTCCCTCAAGCAGCTGATGGGAAGGGGTTTTAACAAACAAGCAAGGTTACTAGGCATTACTTCATCTTTTATGACATCTTGGACTTTTTCTTTTAACCAGAGGAAATCATATTTCATCTTCGTAAGTAAAAATCATGCTAATAATGGAAAGCAAAATTATTCCAACATTTTAGCCAAGATTATAGTGCCAGACATAAATAAATGAAGTTTCAGATGCTCATGTGTGTCTAAGTTTGCCTGTATTGAGTGGGAGGACTCTTGCCTTCCAGGAGGTCGGCCTGGGTTCAATTCGTGGCCGGTGTACCCATGCACAGCTATCTGGCGAGGATGCTGAGCAAGTGTCAATGGGACTTCTACTGACAAAGACAAATTAAGAAGAAAGATCTGGTGACCTACTTCTGAAAAATCAGTCCATGAAAACCCTAAGGACCACCATGTATTGATCCGCAACCAATCATAGGAATGACACGAGACCTGGCAGTAATTTGCGGTATTGTACATGGGGTTGGCATGAGTTGGGGGCTAACTCAGTGGCAGCTAATGGTAATAACCTTTAGTTCATTGCAGCATTAAGAAGAAGGAAGCCATTGGTGGCAAGCCAGGCCTTACAGGCAGGCAGGGCAGAGCACTTTGCCAAGACAGACAGCTGATAAGGGATGGAGTGGGCCACTCAGGATTGTTTCTTGAAAGTCATTAGGTTTAAGAAAAAACAAATATAGACTGCCAAGCCATGAACATTTATTGGCTTGTCAGCCAGGGCCAGGCATGGCATATCATGTTTTGTATAATCTATGCCATTCAATTGACTCTGCAGCCTATGAAGCTATTACGAATGCCTCAATTTTTACAGACTCAGGAGTTGTTAATTGG